ACTTGGTTCCACAGTCAACACTCTTGGAAATCAGGAAATCAGGAGACGAATTGCACTGGGAAAGTCAGCTGTTGAGGGACCTCTCAAAGAGTACTGAAGTGCAACGACGTCAGGCTGGAGACTAAGTTGCACCTGAGCCAGGCTATAGTCTTCGTAATTATGTGCTACACATCGGAGAGTTGGACAGTAAATAGGGATGATAGAAAGAGAATTGATGCCTTTGAGCTGTGGTGCTGGAGAAGAGTGTTGAATATACTATGGACTGCTAGGAGAAGAAGCAGGTTTGTCCTGGAGAGGGTGAAGCCAGAATGCTCCTTGGAGTCAAGGATTCTGAAGCTTCGTCTGACATACTTTGGGCATGTTTCAAGGAGGGACTGGTCCTTGCGGAGGGACATCATGTTTGGGAGAGTGGACGAGGAAGACTCGATGAGATGGATATATTCTGTGATTGGGGTGGTGGGAATGAGTGTGTCAGAGACGGCAAGGCTGGCACAGGATAGAACGGTGTTTAGGGCTTTTGTATAACAGCAGCCAACAGGAAGGAAAGAGAGCTCTGGCAGTGCAGTGGGTAAGGAATTGTGCTACTACCTCGAAGACTGGTGTTCCACCATTGCTCTGATGGAGAAAGATGGCCAGTCTCCTTTCATGTAAATTAGAGCCTTTGGAAAAGGACTTGAGGTTCAGCTATAACTCGATTCTGACTCAACGACACATAACAACTATTTGGATGAATTGAGTCTATCTGTGTAACACTCTACCTGAGGCAAAAAAGAGAACATTCACAAGTTACCTCTTATTATAATTAGCCTTAAATAAATCATTCTACTTCTTTAATTTTGGTAGCATATGTCCTTGTTTTGAGTGAGTTCTATTAAATCCCAGGAGTAGACATACCAAGGCATATAAATTTAGTGAGAGGTCTGAACTTCGTTAGATACTAAGTATTTAATTTCATTATATAATTTAAGAATTTCCTTTTCCTAGCGTGCAGTGATAAGCCTGATTGGATGCCCTTTAGCCTGGCCTTTCTTGCAAGACTTGTGTGAAAGTTTGAATGCATAATTCCTGCATTAACTATAGAGTATATTCGGCAGTGTATGTTTTATTCGTTCTTCTAAACCAAATATAGTTGGTTCAAAATTTTCCATAATATTTCACATTGCTGAAATAGTCCCATAGTAAGTCTAATATCCCCTTAAAAATATTTGCTTGAGAAACAAATGGAGTATGATTTTGGTTCAATTCAGTGATACTCTACAAAGGTCTTTCAATTCATTTACTTTTATGTTTTAAAATGTTGGCATATGTAGGATGGTTCCAATACTGTAAAATCATTAAGGAGGTTGACTGCCATATCATTCTTCAATAATTCAAACTATTGATCATTTTGATCAGCAGTCAAGCTCTGAACCAGTGTACTATCGGGTATCTTTGGTATTTTCTTAGTACACCTTCAGTCTCATAAAAGAGGACTATAAATGAACAATGCAATTATTGTTGCTGGCCATAACAAGAATTATTCACTTTTAACTCATCGAATAGAGATTGTACATATTTTAGCAGCACCATACACTTTCAATCTCTTGATAAATGACATTGCAATTAGTGCACACTATTTTTTCCTAGTTTATATTCATTCTAAAAACATGAACAATTTATTGGCTGTAGCTAGCCCCTTATTTATCTCCCACTATGACAGCAGCTCCTGGCCACATTTTTGCATACCAGTAGCAGATTTTTCCCTTTATGTGTTTGCTGTACAACAGGTACAAAACATATGACTCTTCAACTACTAACCATTCCCAAAGGAATCAATTAATATAGCAAGCATTTTCTGTGCATATCCTCCATTCTCAATGATAATGACTTTTTAGTTATTTAGTACTGCTGTAACAGAAGTAGGGAGTACTAGTGGCCTAGTGGCAAGAAGATGTGCTGTAATCCGAAGACTCACAGAATCCACCAGCTGCTTTGTGGGAGAAAGACAGGCCATTAACTCTTGGGCAATTAACTGCCCCTGAAAGCCTGCCTGAGGAGTTAGCTACGGATTGGTTCTGAGTTGATGCTACACTACATAACAGAAATAAAATGAATGGAAGGAAACACTTGTTTTTCTCATAAGTGAGGAGGCCAGAAGTTCGAAATCAAAGTGGCGGATCTAAAGGAAGGCTTTTTCTCCTTGTAGATTCTGGAAAAGGGCCCTTGTTCTTTCAACATTCATGACTCAATGTTCTTAGCACCACGTCTCTGGGCCTTGGGCCTGTGAATGAGCTTTCCAGCACAGGAACCTGGGTCCAAAGGACTCACTCTGCTCTGGACTCTTCTTTCTTAGTGGCACTGAAGCCCCCCTCTTCCTGCTCACTTTTCTTATCTCTTTTAATATAAAAAGGTTTGCAGGAAGTAGCCCAGGGAAATTCCCTTCACACTGGATTGGAAGTGGGGTAGGATTAAGGGTGTTGATCCCATGCTTTATAACTCTTTACAGTTGATTCGTTTGTCAGCTCATGGGGAATCGCAACATAACTGCAACTTTTTACAATTACACTCGAAATACTGAGACTCAAGGTTCTGTTCAGAAAACATATATTTGGGGGAACTAAATTATAAACTTCTTTATTAAAAGTAAGAGTCAGAAGATAAGCCAAGCAGAAATATTACAATCCTTTATAGGCATCATTGCATTTGGCATGAAACCCACTTAATTCTTACCCACTAAATCCTGTATTGTTTGTTTCCCCACACATCTCCTGCTTATCTCCTAAAGCACTGCTGTCACATTGACTCACAGTATCTGGTTGTTCTTTTGAGGTGACATCAACTCAACTACAATTTATAGGAACTCTGGACAAGAGACATGACGTGTTATCCTGCGCCATCCTGAGGATTTCGGATGTGCTTGAGTCTCTCTGTACAGCCACTGTGTCAACCCACCTAGGATCTTTTCCTGTGACCTTCCACCTTCCCCAGGACAATGCCTTTTTCTAATTAATGACTGGCCCCTCTTGACAAAGCCACTCTTTCCTGTCAGGAGGCTTCAGTATAAGCCAGATCTTCTACCTGGAATGCTTTTTCCCCCCTCCCACACTTCACAAAGATACCTTTTAAAAAAAATAGGTTTTTCCTTGAATGCTAACTACTTAGCAAGGCTGCATATCAGTTCTAACAAAATAAGCCTCTCCCTGCATTCTTGTTTCTTAACTCTTTGGTTGGCTTCTCTCTTCCTCTTACACTGCAGCCAGTCATTACTCATTCTCTTGAGTACTTGGTTTATTTGGCTTCTTCCATTAGAAACTCATTTCAATGATGACAGGGGATGAATATGCATATCTCACTCAGCAATGTGTGTCCAATTTATTTCTAGCCTGGTCCCTAGACTATTTTTAATATGTAATAAATATTTATTGAATGTATACATGCATAAATAAATTAAAGAATTAAGGTGCAGAAAGGTAGAGTAAAACAGTATAATCTTATTCTAAAATGGCAGTAAATAGAGTTCAAATTTAAATTCAGCTGTTAAGTATTAACCAACCAACTTAAGTCGCTGAGCTGTCTTCGCCTCATACTCCATACCTACATACCAGCAAAATTAATACTTGTTCCTCAGAATGTTTCTGTGATGACAAATGGAGGTAATGAATGTGAAGACACTTTTTAAAAACAATATACACAGTCAAAATAATCTTCTGGGTTAATCTGTTTTTAAATATAAAAGGAAAGGATATAAATGCACTAAGAAAACTAGGCCAACTTTCAGGCTCTCTTATTTGTAAGGAAGTTGACTCTTTACTTCCAATCAAAAATGGGGAGGGAGAGAGGATTGAAAAATGCATGTGAGGAGAAAAACAAACCCAATTGAAAGGTTGTTTTGTAGAACTTGGAGCACATAAGCTACATTACAAGACCACTTGGTAAGAAAGCCTGGTGAACTATTTCCCAGGTGAGTCATTGAAAACTTAATGGGACACAACCCTATTCTGCAGAGATGGGCTTCTCCTAACCCAGGTAGACTGCATCACCACGGATTGGTTATTTTCTTAACAGAAGGATGGTTTGTCCCTCCACTGTTGTTAGGACTGGGAGATTTTTACTCTCCCTTTAAATAGCAATGGGATAGATTTAAAACAGCTCAGCAACATTACCTGGTAAAAGAGACCGTCATATCTAAAATAAGAGGGAAGCATTAAAGCAACTATTGTTGCTTATTTTCTATTCCCTCCCTCCCTCCCCATGTTTTCTCAATTCTTTGATAAACTAAGGCAATTACCATGCTTTTTAGTTTTTTATTCAGCCCACCTCTCCCTCAGCATTCGTTCCAGGGATGGGAGAAGGAAGGGTGGTGGTGGTGGTTAGAACTCATTCAGTACCTCAACGCGTGTACACTGGAAGCATGTTGCTATACAACAACGCCCCGGAGCCTCTCTTATTTGTTTATCAATGAACATCCTACTGCGTCCTGAGATGTAGGTCAGGCTCCTTGAAAATATCAGCCGCCGATCACATGCGGTCTTCGTTTTATTTTCAGAACGAGTGCACCGCTGATTCTTGCAAAACTGGAGTGCATCTGAGCTGTGTGTGAGGCAGAAGACACCTGTGCCTGAGAGACGCAGGTGAAGTCCCATCTACCTTCCCAGACTTTCCCTGGTGCTTTCCATCGCCTCTCCTCTCTTCTCATCTTCATTTACTCTGCTGTCTTAAACCAGAACCTCTCTGTTTTACGTAATCTTTTCCCGCTCTTCCCCTCCATCCACACTCGGATGAAGACACAGAAGGTTCCATCGAACCAGGCATGCCTATTAACCAGAGAAGGCTTGGTTGGGCTGCTGGAAGAAAGCTTTGCACCTTCTCGCACTCCCCTCCCATCTGCAGTTGCCTCCTGTCAGTCAGGCCATCCGACAGGACGCGCAGCCCAATAAGCACTCGACGCCTTTGCAGAGACCCCGCCTCTTCTGGCACCGCCACCAATGGGTGGCTGGCAGAGGCGGGACGCACCGTGTCCCCGCCTCTCCAGTTAAGGCCGCTGGTGTGAGCCCCAGCTCGGCGCGAGCGAGGGACGTGGGAAGGGGCAAGCAGGTGTGGGCGCGGGGCCGCGCAGCCCGACGGCGGGAGTCCCAGGCGCTCGGTTCATGGGCCAGTGAGGACACGCGGAGATCCCCGCCCCGCGGCGGAGGCGGAGCAGCGCGGGAGCAAGGCGCTGCCTGGCGACCCTGCGTCCGAGCGAGCGGAACCTTGCGCTTCGCCCGGGGACGGTCCGAAGTCCGCGCTATGGAAGAGGAGAAATATTTGCCTGAGCTGATGGCAGAGAAAGATAGCCTGGATCCATCTTTTGTGCATGCATCGCGCCTTTTGGCAGAAGGTAAGCCTTGCCCCCTCTGATGTCCACGGGCCATCTGGCCGCCCATCTTCGCCTACAGCTGGGTTGCAAGAGAGAGAAGTTGGGGAGGGACGTGAGTCTCCACCTTCGCAGGAACTGTCCATCCTTCTGAATGAAGATGCTCCCATCACCTCTGAGGCAGGCAGAACCCGTCCTGGAGCGGGTTGCTAGCTATGCGCTGTCTATTTCACGTCTTAATTAGGGGAAGACCAAAAGCTGCGAGATCTGACAGTGAAGCTATGACCTGTTAGGACCGTGGATAGTCAGACAAACCATAAAGTGCATCGCAGTCTTCAGGGACACATTCAAGTCCCAGAAGGAAGGGAAATCAGTTTGGAAGTAAACGATGATCAACGTAGTGTTCAAAATGCGTTGTAGCTATAGAGCAGCAATTTTTGCTGCATTTGGGGAGTGATTTTGGTGCTCTTTGATCTAATTAACCTTTCCTATTGAAAGTATTTACCTCGATAAAACTATGCTTGTTCCGGTATGTATGTGAATGTCGCAAGCAAAGGCGAAAGTGCTTATAAATTTATGCGAAGTATTATCATTGTATCTCTGTGAGATACTGGTGCCCAGGAGCACTCTACAATTGATCAACTGTTTTACCAAGTGTGCATTTTCTTTTGTGTACTTGTAATGTTAAAGGAGATTCCATTTCCAGAGGAATATGTCTTGTCTTTTGCATCATTTTGAAAGGTCCTCTAAAAAAAGACACACATACAAGCACACACACACAAAACTTACGCGTCGCAGAACTATTAACCAAATCACTCCATTTATCTAGAAATAATGCCCTTGAAATGATAAAGATTCCTACTCTACCTGCAGTAATCTGTACCTACTTAAAAGGAGGAAGAAAACAAGTTTTGTATTTGTTTTTATTCCCCTTTTATGAATGCTTCATTAATAGTAAATTTTTTCAACCTCAAATTGACTACAATGCAGTTTTGTGCCTTGGGTTGTTATAAACTTAGATAATAGTGACAACTTTCCCAGCCCTCTCAGCATTAAAAGAAATGTTATTTTTGAGACTAAGTGTTACATACAACTAAGAGAAATCTTTCTACAACTTCGTATATGATTAAAATATACTGGACGTATGCTGAGCATGAACATAAAACTAGACTTATGATACACTATTGTCTAGCATAGTAATAAAGAATAAATGGCTTTTCATCTCTGCTTGGAAAAGACGACTAATCAGGATATGGAATGTGTGATTAAAACAACCAAACTGTTTTTCAAGAAATAGTGTTTCAAGAAGTGCCTTTGATAAAGGAATCGAAGAGGGAAAGGTACAAATGGGCTTGCTACTTTCTTGGCTCCAGAATGGAAAACAATGAAAAAAGAAAGTTGAGAAGTGAAGTAATTTAAAATTTGTTAAACTTTCCCTCTACTTTATTACAAAAATTAAGACAACTTCGTAAACTTAATAGAGATATTGGGAAATAGTGAAGTTATAAATCCTAAAGATTGTTAAAATGGATTAAAATGTAGTTAATCCTTTTCCAGTGGACTATGCCAATGTATTTTGCAGAAATTTAGCCGTTTAGATGATAATATCTTTACCCTTTAAAAAAAAAGTTACAAATTAATCTTTTTATTTGGCCTGCTTATTGACATTTTCTTTGAGACTGCAGGTTCAGTGATTAATTCATCAGCTATTAAGGAGATTTATTGTTCTTTTGAAAATTGTCGAAAGCAGTATATATATAAATGCTGATCAGCATGCTAAGCTAATTCTGTGGCAGATAAAACAACCAGAGAAGACTGGGAGTCTGGTTACTTAGTACTTTCACTTGATTTCTTGATACTTCCAAGTCTGATGTACCTTGTAATTTGATTTTTTTCCCAGTAGGGGGAAGCATGTCCTGCTTTTGTAAAGAATTAAGGGGGGGGGGCGGGACAAACCCCATTTAAATAGAAGGGGAAAGCAGCTAAGTAAGAAACAAAGAGAAATTCCCAAATTTAAGAAAAAAAAAAACACAAGAGGAAAAGTCAATGAAGAAAGTGAAGACAGTTATTTTGGTGTCCATAAAGACATATGCCAAAAGACTCAATTGTGTTTCAGTTACTTCTGTAATTTTACCGAAGCCTCTTTACACTTGTTTATTTTAGTGAGAATTCTAGTGGCATGGAACTGTAATACACTTAGCTGCTAACCAAAAGGTCTACAGTTCAAATCATGAGAGAAAGATGTGGGAATTTGCTTCTGTAAAGGTTACAGCCTAGGGGCTATTCAATGAGTCAGAATTGACTCAAGAACAATGGGGTTTTTATTTGAGGATAAGGTGAGTGTACTCAGAAATCTCTAGTAATTCTTATTGTACATTTTGCATCAAAGATCTTTCATTATCTTTGCAAAGGCTGTTTGCCAAGGTTTCCAGGTTTTGTTTTAGAGCACTACAGAACATAGTTCAAATAGTGTTATTTCTTATTATACCTGAAATGCACTGATTGGAGGCAGTGGCTATAAATAAACTTGACATAGATATTCATTTGGAAAGAAGTGCACACTGAAGTACATTTCAGTCAGTACAGTGCAGACACTCTCAAGACTGAGTGAGTAATAAAAATGATCCAGATGATTCAGTTCTTTGGAATGATTTTCTAGAAGCTCGTATATATAAAGGCAGTGATGTAAACCAATGAACTTCAAAAATGATTTATTTTACTTTTTGGTTAGTGATAGATACAAAACAGTCCTCAATTGTGACCACGTCATTTAGAATGATACTGGAGTTAAAACTACTGGTTTGTTATTTCTTTTTTTAAAATTTTTTTTTTCCACTTCATATTGCTTTACCTGATTCTGCTGAATTTTTGGTAGGAATGATTTTCATAAAGCTATTGGAAGACCTAAAATATGTTACATATTTTTGCTTAGAAGTGATCTTGAAGAAAAGGACTTCAAGAGTTTAATTAGTGTTCTATTAATTAAACTAATTTTTCTCTCATGATTGTAAGTAAGGATTCTTTTGTTATGGGAGGTACTTTTGACTATGACAAAACAGCAAACTCAGCATGATCCTTAAAGTTCCACTCAGCCTCTAATTTTGCTTGCCAGATGAAATTAGATGAGGTTATTTATATCTATGCCACTTCTGGAAAGTGCACTGAATTGTGAATCCAGATACCTGGATTTTAATTTTGCATTTGCCTAAACTGGAGCTTAAGAAACTTCCCCTTCACTTGGTCCAGCTGTCATGTGTCTGGAGTGAAGGAGCTGGACTAGATGATGTATAGGTTTCATTGCAATGCTAAGTAAGTGCTGGATTAAGTGCTGATACAAAGGAATGGTGTTTGTGTGTTCAAGATTTTTTTTTTTTAAAAAAGAATGGTTGATACATTTCTGAGACTTTTTAAATTCCTTCCTAGTTTAGTGATTGCTAACACATTTAATATCTTAAAATGTAACTTGAGTCACATACATTAATTTGACCCTTGGAAACAGACTGTGTTTGTAAGTCTTTTGAACTATTACTAAGGCTTGGGACTACAATGTATGTACATGAAAGTATTGTTTTTTGCAGTTAGGAATACCTGTCTGGTGACAGGCATAAATGTATTCAAATATATAGAATCAGTTATGATCATCCTGTACTGTTATGAATATCTTAAGATGCTTAATAAATGCCTGATCTGATAAGGATGTTTTGATTAGCAAGATTTCCTAACCAGAATTTTCCACAAATATTGGTAATTTATCACTGTTTTGATTTACATATCACAGGATATAATCGCATATTGCCTAATTATTTTAGCAGCTCAGATGGTTTCTATAAAACTCCATTTGCTTATTTTGGTGAACACCTTACTCTGTCTTCTAAGAGGATTGCCCTTTGAGTTTAGAGGTCTAGATGAAGTCTTAGAAACACCAGGAAAACTTGAGATTAATATGTACTCCACTTGCTATCTTTTAACGAACATACATACATTTATATTCCCACCATGGACTGTATTTGAATTTCTATTGTGTCCCTTAAAATTTTCTTCTGTAAAAGTTGGTGAGTTCTTAATTGAAGAAGAGTTTATTGATGCAATGCCTGGAAGACATCATTGATGTGACTCATTTAAAGTATTTTCTTTTATTGATATATTTTTCTCCTAATAAATCTAGGATATTTATGCTTCTTAAATTCAATACAAATATACCAAAACAATCTCTGCATTTAAATGTAAACCATCTTGAATTTGCACTTGAAACAGTTTCATGTTTACAATGGAAAAATACTGGTATAATAATCAAAACCCTTGGGATTGAATGCTCTTATTTCTACCTACCTAAATATGGGTTATGTCATATTTTTTCTTTGTAATACTTAGTTCCTTAATCTATGACAGAGAGAATATATACTTAGCATGGTTTTTAAAAGGTTAGACAAAATGCTTCTTGTTTTGAAAATAATATACAAATATACGATGACACTTTAAAGTTTTCCCTTATTCTTTTAATATCATTGTAGACTTAACCACAGATTTGAAGCTAGCTTTTGTAAAATAAATAAGTACTAATTTACTATTTCAAAGTTAGCATTGAAAAAAATAAATTATGTAGTAATTATTTTCTAGAAGAGCATTCCAATGAGGATGTTTTAAGCACATTCCATTAGTACACTAACACTTCTAAATGTTTGAAAATGTTTTGTGTAATTTTTACTAACCTTGGCCTCTGTCACTTTAAAGGATCATCCCAAATGTCCTTAGACTTTCTTTTCATTCCAGAACTATTACATTGTTCTGCCTCACACCACTCAGAAACACCCATACATGTACTTGCTTTCTTTCACTCAGAATATAAAATATATTTGAGTCTCCTTGCTACTCAAGGTTGATGTCCCATCCAGTGTCTCTTATATGGACTCATTCCATAGTTACATATTTCTTTCATATCTTCGACTTTTATTATCCACTCTTTCAATATAGTAGTCTGTAACATGATCAATCTGTTTGTCTTTAAAAACCCAAAGAATAGGTGC